GGAGACCCCAGCTGCTCTCCATGCCCCACCCTGACCCAGGCTAGCTCTCCCCTCCCCAGAACGTGACGGCCAACCACCGGATCAGTGACGCAGTTGCCAACGAGGACGGCCCACAAGTTGTGACAGGCCGGTTCATGTATGGGCCCCTGGACATGGTCACCCTAACCGGGGAGAAGGTGAGGAAACAGGGGGACCTTAGGGTGCCTGCACATCCCCTTGGCTGAGGCACCTGGAGTGAGGAGGCTAGGGTATGACCAGCTGTGACCACTCRCCCCTGCTCACAGGTGGACGTGCACATCATGATGCAGCCACCCTCGGGTGAGTGGCTACACCTGGACACACTGGTGACCAACAGCAGTGGGCGTGTCTCCTACACGATCCCCGAGACACACCGGCTGGGAGTGGGGGTCTACCCCATCAAGATGGTGGTCAGGTATGCACCTCCAAGGGGTGGCAGGACAGGGCCCGCTTCTGGGGGGCAAGATGAGGGGCTCTGGTTGGTTCTGACAAGCTGTCCCCACTGGCCAGGGGAGACCACACGTTTGCTGACAGCTACATCACTGTGCTGCCCAAGGGCACGGAGTTTGTGGTCTTCAGCATCGACGGCTCCTTTGCCGCCAGCGTGTCCATCATGGGCAGCGACCCCAAGGTGCGGGCCGGGGCCGTGGATGTGGTGCGGTGAGTGGCCCCATGGGCACAGTGAGACTTTCACAAGGTGGGTGGGCTCAGCAGCAGGAGGCTCCTACATGTTAGGCAAGGGAGACCTGGTGGCACCAGGATGAGGACCTGCGTGGCCCTGGACCTTGTGGGTCCAGGCCTAGAGCCTTAGGCCACCACTGGTTAGCTGCATGACTGTGGGTGGCCTGGTGTCCAGTTCCCTGGAGAGGAAGGCTGGAGAGAACAGGCAGCTCTCCTGCAGGGCTGCAACTGTGGGGCTCACTGGGTCACTGGGGGGTCTGTCGCCACGTCACTGCCATTTCTATTGACATGTTGTCTGAGCCCAGTTAGAGATGCTTTTCTCAGTGGCCCAAGCAGGGCACTTGGGCTGGGCAGGAGACAGGGAGGCCCAGAGGGAGGAAGAGGCAACATGGGACACCCGGGCCTGCCCCTCGCCCCAGGCACTGGCAGGACCTGGGCTACCTCATCATCTATGTGACGGGTCGGCCGGATATGCAGAAGCAGCGGGTGGTGGCGTGGCTGGCCCAGCACAACTTCCCCCACGGTGTGGTGTCCTTCTGTGACGGCCTGGTGCACGACCCACTGCGGCACAAGGCCAACTTCTTGAAGCTGCTCATCTCTGAGGTGGGTCCAGGGAGAGGGGGCAGGGCACAGATGGGAGCAGAGGCCGTGCCCACGCCCACACCGTCTTGCCCACAGCTGCACCTGCGTGTGCATGCGGCCTACGGCTCCACGAAGGATGTGGCGGTCTACAGCTCCATCAGCCTGTCCCCCATGCAGATCTACATTGTGGGCCGGCCCACCAAGAAGCTGCAGCAGCAGTGCCAGGTGAGTAGGCGAACCAGGGGCCAGGGAGCAGCTGGGGTCCCTCCGCTGACGGCCCGTCCTCCTCACTGCCCCTGCAGTTCATCACGGATGGCTACGCAGCCCACCTGGCCCAGCTCAAGTACAACCACCGGGCACGGCCAGCCCGCAACACCGCCACCCGCATGGCACTACGCAAGGGCAGCTTCGGCCTTCCTGGCCAGGGGGACTTCCTGCGTTCCCGGAACCACCTGCTCCGCACCATCTCAGCTCAGCCCAGTGGCCCCAGCCGACTCGAGCGGACGCAGGGCCAGGTAGACTGTGAACAGCGAGGCCAGCGCAGCATGAGCATGGCGGCCAGCTGCTGGGGCCGCACCATGACAGGCCGGCTTGATCCAGGGACAGCCACGGGCCCCAAGTAGGGCACCGTCAGCGAGGTACCATGGTCTCTTAGGCAGTGCTAGGCCAGGGTTCCAGCTCCACCAGGAGGTCTGGCCTAAGCACACGCAGGTGGCTGGGGAGGAACAGACACGCCTGAGAGCTTGTCCCACGGCCCACTGGAGGACACAGGCCATGCCACCCAGTCCTCCCAGCCCTGCCTCCTGTCATAGGGCCTGTGGGGTCCAGCATATCGTGGAAGACAGCAGGACAACCAGCCAGGATGACAGAAGGACCAAGACATCCCACTGAGCCTGGCCTGGGGAGGCACTTCTGRACATTGTGCCCTGTGTTGATCTCCCAGCCTCCTGGTGCCAGGGGTGGGCCTGGGCCCATCCTGCCACCTCCCTGTCCACTATCCTCCACCCCAAGGTCCCCTCCATTTGGTAGCAGCTCCAACAGGGGTCCAGCCTGCTTCTCGTTGACTCCAGATTCTCAACTGTCTGACCTCACTGGTTTTGCCCTGGTTTTTGAGTGTGGGACCCTTTACCATCTATGGCTACAGACTCGCTGACATGCATGAAAACTCAATATCTGCTGATCCAGGACCTGTTACCACACAGAAGGTTCCAGTTTGGCAAATCCGTGTGCAAGCAGGAGAGCAAGGCCATATCTTAATTCCTGCAGCCCTGCCTGGCCTGCCAGAGCCATGGCAGCCCTGGGACCCCTGCCCGCCTGTCTGCCTGCCCAGCTGGGGCCCAGTGCCGTCACGGGGCTGGTGTTATTTCCAGCCCCGAGCACAGCCCAGGCATGAGGCCAACGAAACACAAGGTCGGCTCCCTCATTGTCCCACCTTGGGCCATGGGGCCTGGACAAGCCTGGCCTCTTCTCCTTGCCTGCCATCGGTAGGGCCCCAGGCCGTGGCCCACCCACCCGCCTGCCCTCCGCGTTTCTACGCCTTTCTACTACTTCTCAACCTGATTTCTACGAGGTTTTTTTAAATGAGCAATCCTCGGCTGCTTCCTTTCTTAACTCTTTCAGTACCAAGCGCAGCCCCTCCACATTGAGAACACCCAGCACTGTGACGGAGTCCAGCCTGGTTCTGGGTCCCATGGGCCCCACCCTAGCCCACTCATCGGGTGCGGGCTCCCTGCCTCACCTGACCCATTAATTCCACTGAATTTCTATGGGGGAGGGGGGTTGGGACAGGGCCACACTTAGGTTTTTTAATGCCAATTCCGTTTCAATGCTGAATCTAAGCCACAGCTCGCTTGCTAGCTTAAGGGCAGGCAGCCAGGACTTCACTTCTCACCCACACCAGGAGTGTTGCGCCCGGGCCTGACACCTGTCTCCCCTTCCCAGCACCCGGCAACCTCGGCTGCTGCCCCAGGTTCCACCATCCCCAAGGCCCCAGACAGCCCTCCAGCCACTGCACTCTGTTCCTGAGACTGTGCCAACCTGGATACAGCTCAGGGCCCTTCRGGCTGGGCTGGGGAGGTGTGCAGGCTGAGGGCAACTTTTCCCGTGTGTAGATATGTACAGCCAAAGGGTCATGTAAATGTTCTCAAATGGGGGCCTATACAGAGGAAGAGCTATTTATTTTGTGCAGAGAAAACACCTGGGGGATGGAGCCTCCAGGGCTATTCACATTTAAGATGTAGCTTTTTGTTGTTTCAGGCATATTGTATAAAGCAACGACTATTTTATGGACCAAGTATCCTCGTAACTGTTGCAGTGAAAGTGCAATAGCTGACCCCTTGCTCCCAGCAGGAGTCCCTGGCCCGACAATCACAGCCCTGGCCAGGGGCCCCTGTGGCCAGTGCCACCGCCTCTATCAGCCCCACCTTGCCCCACCTCACCTACACTTCGGTGACTAGCCATCCAGAGAAGCACCTGGAAGTCCTGGGCCCGCCTGCAATAAAGGCCAGGAGGCCCTGTGGGCAGACTCAGCCTCTCCCAAGGAAGCCCCCATGGCTCCGCACCCCCCCACAGCCTGCCCAGTCATCAGCCATGCCAAGGACAACAGCAATAGTCCCCTGGGCCTCTCCCAGGCCCTCAGCCATAGACGGTGAGACGGGCAGCCTCCCTCCCAAGTCTCTTCTATATCCAGGTCTGCTTTCTGCCTCCCTAAGACTCCTTTCACCACACTCTCCCGAGGAAGCACCAGTTTTTCAGAAACCAAGAGAGGGAAGGGCAAAGTCCTTTAAATACCAAAAATGTTTACAGTGTTGGGTGCTGAGCTGCAGGGCTCAGGCCTGACCAGTTGTAACCAAAGGGTGAGGCAGGCCTTGCTGACTGCCACCCCCACCCCAGGCCTGTTAGAATAGAAGCCTTAGTCCACCCCACCCACCCCAAACCCCAGGACTGAGCCTCAACCACCACCCAGCTCCACCACCTGCCTTCTCTTTGATTTCTAAAGAAGGATTCAGCAGAGACCCATCCCTCCCTGGCTCAGTATGAGCTGCCTGCCTCCTGCCCCACCCCATTGCAGCCTTCACATCTGGACCCCTCCCGTCTGTCCTCGTGCTGTCTGTCTCTGGGCCATGTGTGAACAGTGTCCTGACTCCCTCCCTGCTGTCCCTGCATCATTGGGCCTGAGTGTGCTCTGTATATGTCACTGTCTGTTACACCAATTAAAGAAGCAGGAAGGCTTCCTTGTGATCTCTTTACTGCGGCGGCACCCCGGGGTTCAGGTTGGAAAAGGACCTGTCTAAAAGCATAAACCCTCCCAGTCAGTGCCACCTGCTGCTTGCAGTGTCACCAGTACACTCATGCAGGACTTGTGTCCCTTCCAAGGCATAGCCCAGTGAGGCAGGTTTGTGAGCCTCTCTGCTTTACAGGGGACACAGCAGTAAGCCACCTAGCCCTTACCTGTTGTGATCTGTGAAATGAATTGAGCGAAGCTGCCTCTCCCCAAGCATAAGTGGGTCCCATTGAAGAGCTAAGACTGATTTGGGACTAAGCCATGGAGTCAGATGTAGTGCAATCGGCTGACAGATGAGCAGCAGGGCAGAGAGGGCTGGGGCCCAACATCCCAGCTTTCCCCAAAGCTCCTAAAGCCCAATGCCCCCTGGAAGTTCACACCAACCTCTCCAACCCTGACCACAAAAAGCAACAGAGCAAAAAGTCTAAGACCAGAGAACATTTAATATCAGGTACACTGCCCTTGCTCTTTCAGGAGGGGTTACTGAGGCATCCATAAGCCTCACCTCTAACCTTGCTCCTGAGGAGGCTGGACTGGCTCCACAGGTGAAAAGCCATCAGCACCGGTCAGTGTTGCTGCTGCCCGCCCTGTGGCCAACCTCCAGGCCATGGCACGACACTGTCCACAGGCCTCAGTCGGCCAGGGGCCCTCAGGGAAGCAGCCCAGCTCGCATCTGGAAAGCCAGGCCATCCCCTCGGGTGGCTTGCTAGGGAAGAAAACATACAGAAGTAGGACATCAGAGACAGCTGGGGGGCAGACCACAGGGAAAGGGGCAACACCAACCTTATTGATTTCTCTGTGTCGCTCTTTGGTTACGATTTCCTCCAAGACCTCACCATCTCCCTTAATGAGCCTAGGGTGGGAGGGTGTCCATCAGCAAGAAACAGGCTGAGCCCCTAATGCCAGAGCAACCAGCAACGGGTCCCCAGGGCTCAGGCCCCACCAGCTCGAGCAGGGGGAGCCTGGGTGCCAATTTGGCCGCCACCACCTTTGGGATTGGGATGGAGGGAGCCCAGGTAGGCTGCCTTGCAGCCTGCACTACCAGTCTGGGCAACAGTAGCTGCTTGAAAAAGGTCTCTCATTGAGACCCTTACACCAGGCAAAGGGGAAGAACAGCTGATATGTCACCAGTGACAGTTTTCTCCCATACTGGCCTTTTTGGAGCAGCTGCAACCACACCCCACTCCTCCTGAAAGCCCATGTTCTGGGTCACAACTCCCTGGTACACCACTCGGGGCCTGCCTGTGCCTGGCACCCCCACCTGGTGCGTCCCGTCTCAGGGTCCACCACTTTGCGGATGACACTCTGCCGAGCATCCCACTCCTCCTTGGTCATAGGCTTCATGGCCTGAATACGAGACTTCTGCTCGTCCGTCAGGACTGGAAAGGAAGATGGGAGGAGACTGTGGGCAGACCTGGGGAGGGGTTCTCTCCCTCCTGCACAACGGGTGGCACAGTACCTGGGCCATCGTCTTCCTCCCCCGTGGATCTGTGCCACTGGTCCAGCGAGGGGCCAGGCGGAGCTTCAGCCTGGGGCACTTCGGCCTTCTCTTTGCGCCTCCTCTTCAGCTTCTTTTTCCTCTTCTTCTTCTTCTTCTTCCTCTTCTTGTCCTTGTGCTTTCCCCGCTTCTTCCGACCATCACTGGAGGAAGAGGAGGAGGACGAGGAGGAAGAAGAGGAGCTAGAAGAACTGGAAGAAGAGGAGGAGGAGCTGGATCGTGGTCTCCTCCGGGCCTTTTGCTTGCTTCTCTCTGTGATGCAGGGAGAAGGTGAGGCTGGAAGGCCAGGAGGGCAAGGAGTAAACCTTGGTCCCCTTGCTCTGGCCTTGGGTAGGACCAGGTCTGTCCAGTGAGATGCTCCCTGCCAGGCTCTCCAGAAGAGATCAGTGCTCTCCTGGAGAAGCACCTTCCGGGCTCCACAGGACACCGTCTCATGGGCAGGAGGCCAGGCTCCACTTCTCATAGCTACACTAAGTGAACCCTTAGATCCACACTCACCAGCTGGGCAGGGCCCAGTCTCCTCCCTGTCTGGGGGGTTCTCCAATTCTCCACTCTGCACCCCTGAATGCTCTCATTCCGATTTCTCCACAGCCAGTCCCAGCTGCCTGCAGCTGCCTGCGGAGAAGTTGCTGCACCCCCTTTCCCAGTTCCTGGGTTCCTCACCCTCAGTCCCTGAGGCGGTGCTGGCCTTACGACCTTGGGATCCAGAAACTGAGCAACTCCTCGAGGAGTCCCTACTACTCTTCTTCCTTCTCTTTTCCGACCTTCGACTCCGGGAGCGGCTGCGACTTCTCGAACGCTTGCGAGAGCCAACGTGAGCCATAGCGGCGCAGGCTGGCAATGGGAAGAGACGCGTTTAATCCGCGGCTCTCTGGAGCCGGACCGCAGTGTGGGCTCCAAAGGTGGCTCCAATGGGGTCTGGTTCTCAGGGCCCCCGATACCCAGCACCACAGCGGGGACCCGCGCTATCCCCTCCACCCCTTTGGAGACCCTGGCTTCTCCGCCGACTCCGGGACCCCGCGCGTCGGCCCCTTTAAGGTCCCGCCCCCGCTCGGACGCTCCACACCTGCGCACCAAGCGCGGCGTCCTGGGAACCGACAGCTTTCCTCAACCGCAAGGGGCGTCCCGAGTTCTTCCCCGTGCGCTCCCATCCTCCACCCTGCTCCCTTCGCGGCCTCGACGCCTTAAAGAGGGCCTCGAGGCTCTCTTCTTCTTACCTCAACCGCCCATCGGATGGGACCGCCAGCTCCACACCCCGACTTCGCAAGGAAGCAGCAGCACTGTGGCTTCCAGACCACTTCCGGCCTGGAGCGGTGCGCGGGGAGGCTGTCCGGGTGGGAAGCGAGGCGATGCTGCCTTTAGTTCTGAAACCGCGGGTTCCCTCTTCGGAGCGCCCATCTCTTTGCAGAGACCACGCTGGTGAGGGAGCCTACTCCCGCCGCTCCGCCCTGGGACACGTCTCCAGCCTGGCGCCAGTCCCAGGCTCTCAGGCGCCTCTCGTCCATTTATGCCACAGCCGCACCGTCTTCCAAGACTGCGCTTTGGGTGCCGTACCCGCATCACCCACCTACCTAAAGCCCCATCTTCCCGCGCGCCACTTTCCTCCCTGGCTGGTCTGCGAACCTATCCACCCCATCTGACTGTGAGATCCCAACAGAGACGTCCCTGTCTTTCTAACATATATACCCAGTAATATAGAGGTCGCAAACTCAAGTGTCCATAAAGGGACGGAGAGTTAGTTCACGACACCTAATGAAAGAGTGACCACAAGCCTTTCTAAAGTACGCAGCTGAGACTCCGCTCCAGGTGGCTTTTGCAGTATGGGTATGGGACTGCGTGTGTCCACGTCTTCCCTCCTTCCGGAGGAAGCTAAAATTCAAGATTTCAACATGGAGGTACTGGGTTGTGGCTCAGAGGTAGAGCACTAGCCTAGCATGTGTGAGACACTGGGTTCAATGATTATTTATTTATTTATTTATTTATTTATTTTAAAATAAAAACCTTTATTTACTAGCACTGCATATAAATAAATAAAATAAAAGGTCCATTAACAACTAAAAAAAATTAAGATTTCAATATGGAAACACCTTGGTTATCAGATGTGTAGCCCCCAAAAAGCACAGTTCTGTGTACACACCTCATCAATTTTAGGGCCACCCAGTTATAAGGTCTTCAATAAAAATAACAAACACAGCCGAGGGCTGATATAAATCACTTTATCTGTGTTAGGTCATTGGATTCTCACATTAGCACCTAGAGCATAGAGGTCAGTGGGTCACCCATGGCCACACAGTGGAAAGTGGCAGAGCCAGGATCTGAATCCAGGTAGTCTGGCTCCAGAAATCTGTTCTTGATTTCTCCAAGTAAGCCTTTTACACCCATTCAGAGGTTGCAATTGGTGCTGTCCACCACTAATACTCTTCATTGAAGGCCTCCTGCAGTCACTGGGAGCCACCCTCCCCTGGAGGCAGATTTCTGGGAAGTTACTCCTGCCTCTGCAGCTCCATCCAGGAGCAACTAACTGTTACTAGGAACCAACTGGTGGGAATTCTAGCTCTGGAGCTCCCCAGGAGCAGGCTGATGCTGGACTGTCACCTGAAACCACATCTTTGTGAAGCCACTTTCAGTACCCTCTCCTGCTTCCCTACTCCCCTCTGAGGATCCACCCTCCATGAATCCCATATCAAGCTCTGCTTCAAGCAAACCTGCACTAAGCCAGCCTACCTCTGGAAATAATGACCCAGATGCTGGCCTAAYCTTTTGATCCAAGGAGTTCCATGGTTGCAAGTTTATTTCTGCCCCTTCCAACGTGAGATGGCAGGTCCTCACTTGCCACACCACCTCCCCACCACCACTGGGCCAAACCAGGCTCAAGTTAGCGCACACACATCCACCGTGGTGGGCTCCTCCCGGGTGAAGCCRTCGCCAAATCCCTCGTCGTCCACCAGGTCTGGCTCACGGCAGCACATAGGACAGAGGCGGTTGCGCACAGCAGAGGCCCGGAGCCACACCACGAGGTTCCAGCGCTCACCAGTGCCTAGTGGCCGGGCCCCATGCAGCTGTCCGCCCCGGTGCAAGACACCCTGGCCCACCACATGCTGCACCTCCAGGGGCTCTGTCAGGGCAGCTGGTGCCTGCAGATGGCAGATCTCAGGCCTGGGCACTCGTGGCTGACCCAGATCCTGTCCCATGGGTCTGAAATACTCACCTGGAAGAGGCCTCCAAAGTATAGGGCACCTCCTGTGAAGGCCTTGCCCAGGGCCACATTGAGAGTGAGCTCAGCATTATCATAGTGGCAGCCCAGCTCACGGTCCTGGCCTGGTGCATATTTGACCACAAAGGCGCGGTGACTGTCAAGCTGGCCCCCACCACAGTCTGGGTACAGCAGGGCCATCAATGGCTGCAGGAATCGTTCCCGCAGTGGTGTCACCAGTGGTTCGTCCAAGCCCAACTCATGCAGCAGCACCTGGAAGAGGATGCCTGTGGTAAGCAGGAAGACTGCTGGGGCCTTATCCTGCTTCCCTGGGTGAGGGATTTGCTATTAAGGACAAAGCAAACTGATACCATCACACAGTTATCTACCATGATCTTGCTCTGCAGGCAGGGATGGGCAGCTTGCCTGCAGCACCTCAGATATGTTTCCCATCCTAGCTGCCTGGACTCCTCAGGTGGGTGCATGGGCCAGGCCTCACCTACCCCATAATGGTTCATGGTGTTGGGCCTTCCCTTGGGCATGTCTGACTGCTCAAAATGCTCCAGCTCCTCCAGCAGGGCTTGGCAGAAAGACGCAGTAAATACAGGCACCCGGTAGATGCGCTTCTCTTCTGTGGAGGGAGACAAGATAGTAGGTTAGAGCTCTGAGGCAAGGTCAGACAGGCTTGGGTCTCAATCTTCTCATGAGCAGGCGCGGCTTTTCACTGTCCCCAGCCTCAGTTTCCTCATCTGTACAGTAGAGATAGTGAGGTCCCTTACTTCTCAGGACCACTGCCTTGCCCCATTCTGAAGTCACTAACTGGTGCTGTGAGCAACTGTGGGTTCTCTTTCTGAGCTCCCCAGGGGTCAAGCTGATGCTAGACTGTCATTTGAAACTATACCTTTGCAAGGAAGGCTGGTCAATGAATGAATGAACAAATGAATACAGATGCCCTGCTCCTGGCAGGCCCTTCCTGTTCCTGCTGGTCTGGTTTTTGAGAACAAATATGATATTTGGGAGGACCCCAGTCTCTATTGCCCAGGTATCTTAGGTTGCCACCCCCAAGTCACGCCATGCTCTCACCTGACACTGTCTGCAGCCGCTGGAGAAGGCTTTGGAGGTCTGCACCTGGGGATGCACTGTACTCTGCAACAGACAGAAACTCAGGAGCCAGAGCTGCATCCTGGGGGCAGAACATAACAGCTATGGGGAAGACAGCACCCCAGGCCTGAAAAGGCTGCTTCCTCCCTCCAGTAACCAGCTCCCAATTTCCCTGCCTAGTACCTGCAGTGAATTGTAAACCTCTGGCCGTGCTGGGTGGTAAGAACTGGCGATGAGGGCTTTCCTGGCAGCTGACTCCTGCCCCAGCCTCTGCCGCCGTGCCACCTCCTGCTGAAGCTGGGGTAGCACAGGGATAAATTATCATACAGAGCCTCCCATTCCCCTGAAGCCATGGTACAGATGAAGAAACTGAGGATCATGAAGGCCAGAGTGGGGCCCAGGATGGAAGGCAAGTCTCCCTATACTCCTGAGTCAATTGCAAATACCTAACTACTAGTTGAAAGGGACTTCTAGAAGAGGGACTGCTAGGCTGGATGGGAGGAGAGACCCTGGAGGCACCTCAACCAACTGGGCCCGCTATAGGGAGGGAATGGTCACAGTCAAATCCTGTGTTACAGAGGCTRCAAAAGACTCTCTTAGAAAGCCACCAACTCTAACCCCCAGGTGAGGGAAGAGGTGGGAGATGAGCAGCAACCTCAGGGGGGGGGGGTAAAAGAGCCAGGGATGTAGTAGCCCTGGTAATCTCAACTCCATCCTCTGTGAGACTTTGGGAAAGCAACCCCCCTCTTTGAGACTCAGTTTCTCATCCCAAAATGTGTCTACCTCACAAAGCTGTTAAGAAGGGCATGACATAGACAACTTGGCACTTCTCCATTTCTATTCTTCTGGTCCCAGAACGCAGGAGTAAGGGTGAGGGGAGCAGGAGGCAGGTAAAGAGGACTGAGGAGTCCTTCAGCGATGGGAGACTGACAGGCCGAGGCTGGGAAACCCCTCAGACTGCTGACACAAATCTAGAGGAAGGGCCAAGCTGCAGTGCAGGGAGTGGGGGAGTGTTACCTCTGCCAAGAGCTGTTGGAAGTCCTTGGTGCTGACACAGCCTCGGCTGCGCAGGATCTGGGAGCAGAAAGACCAGTGAACATGATTGCGTGACTTTGTGCAAATCCTTTAACATCTCTGAGCCTCAGTTTCCCCTCCTTAAAGTGGAAATGAGAGCCCGTACGTCACGGGATCCTTCAGAGAAGGAACTGCGATGACCGCGTTAAGCAGAGCTGGGTTCCCAGTTACTCCCACCAACACCGAGAGAGCATCCTGAGCCAGGGCCTGCCCTGCGCGCTCTACCCGCATGTTCCTTCATTCCCTCCACACGCGGCTCACTAACAGGAGATGCTATCACCCCCCCCCGCCTTTAAGATAGGGAAACGGAGGCATGGAGAGGAAAGTCATTCTCCTCCTAAGTGAGGCCCCGTGTGCCGTGGGCAAACCAAACCATCTCAGGGCCAAAGGCTCCTCCCCAGCCTCCGCCCGCTTCCCAGGAAAGCCAGCAGAGGACACTCACAGGACCGTAATCCTGGCGCAGCTGCTGCTCGCTACGGAAGCGTAGGTGCAGCCCGTAGCGCGCCACGTACAAATTCTCCGAGCAGAAGCAGGCACAGCGGCAGAATCGCCGCGGGGCCCCGGCCGTCGCCATGGTGAGACGCCGCGYGGCTCAACCGGATTCCAACGGGGCACTTCCGGGTACGCCCCCAACCCGGGAAAGGTACGCTACAGCGACCAAGGGGCCGTCCTTAATTCCCAAGAGCAGAAAAGAACGAAGACTATCCTCTCCAGAAAACGGTCAGAGGGTGGAGTGGGGGAAAAACGTTCGCGGGCCGAAGTGGAGCCGACGGCTTCGACAGAGAGCACGCGGCCTCCACGTTACGTCTCATAATTTCTACACTACGAGGCACGAACTAATGACCCCACTTTACAAATAGGTGAACTGTCACAGCCTCACTGGACGCGGAAAAGCAGGGACTCAGAACAACAAAGCCTTTTATTTAAACGCTGCCCCCCTCTTCTAGGCGCCTTTGGAGAACCGGCTGACCCCACCCCGCGAGGCAGCCAGGTCAGTTAGGGATTGTGAGGTCCGGCCTCATTTCCGCCCGAAGCTAAGGAGCCAGCGATTCTATTCGTCTGAGCTCCGGTTTAGCATTTACCCCGCACCCTTGCCTGGCGCTCCCAGGGCTTATCCGAGAACTCTCAAAACTTGGCAGCGCGGCTCTCCGGAGTGTCTCCACGAAAAAGCTCCGTCCCTCGCGACTTCCGGCAGGGATCGCAAAGGGGGCCGGGTGGGCTAAGCCGTGTGTGGGCAGGGCACTGGGCGCGGTCTGCCGGAGGCCACACCTCACGTCTGGATTGCGTTTGAGTTCGGCAGAGCGGCAGAGAGGGAGATAAGTACGTTAATGTCCTCCGGGCAGCGTCCCCAGCTCTGCGAGGCCCACCACCGCGCGCGCGCGCTCGCGCGCGCACACACACACACACACACACACACACACTCCGCCGCGGTCTTACCGTCCCGCCGCGCACCCCGCGGGCCCAGGTCTGCAGAGCCGCGCGCGCACACACACACACACACACACACACACACACACACACACACAC